TGAGCCATGAGTATAACATTTCCAGACCCCTTTAACAATACCAAAGAGTGGGAGGCCCTACCCTTAATGATGCTGAATTCTTATATGAATCTGCCCCCAATAAACTGTTTGAAGAACTGGAGATCTGGCTGCCAGCAATCCACTATGTGGATGACGTATGGTGACAGTTACAGGGAATGGCAACTTCTAATTGAAGCCCAGGGGTTGTGTCATTGGGAGACCCCCTGCTGTAGCAGCCAGAGGGTAGGCAGAGGATTTACCACCAATCATCAGCTCTGCAGAAAGCTTGAGCACAGGAGATCCCATTTACAATGGTAGATGGCAAATGGAAACTTCAAGTCCTGGCCTTTCTTCTGGGCACAGGTCACATTCCTGTTGACTGAAGACCCATCTAGGGTTCAGGGCCGACCTCGGCGTGAGGTCTTGTCCCCTCTGCGTTTTGAGCCATATGAAGCGGTGGCGCTGGCCTCAGGAGGAGAGGTGATCTTCACCAAAGACCAGTACATTCAGGATGTGGCAGCCATTGTTGGGGACAGCGTAGCTGACCTGGTAAGTGTAGGGGCTCAGCTCAGAACTGAGGGGATGATGGTGACACTGCATTTCTCTTTCTTGTAGAAGAAAGCAAATGGCTCCCATTACTGAGTTGCCATTCTAGGCAGAGGGTGGGAAAGGAAGTTTCTCTCCCTCGGAGATCCACAGCTACCCACCTTCTACACCGCTCCTTCCATATTAGTACTACCACCCTCAATCTTGGCCTCCAGTATTCTGTCTTCACGGCTACTCTAGGAAGTCCTGCCATCTTTTAAGGGGGGCAAGAAGTGGTTGCCTCATCCTTAATCCCTTGCCTCCAACTTTGTCATTGATCATAGCTTCATCCCTGGTCCTTCCTCTCTCACTGGTATCCCATGTGTTACTTAGTTTTTTTCTGTCTCTACCTTTCTTTCTCCTGTCTTTGTTCCCACCTCATTCCATGCCTTATCTTCTCCCCCATTTTTCGGTCCTGCCCCCTCAAGGTGACCCTTCCCCTGGAGCCTCCTGTTGTGGTGCCTGGGAGGCCACTTGTGTTCAGTGTGGATGGGCTGCTCCAGAGGGTCACAGTCCGGATCCATGGGGAGGTCAGCAGCTTCTGGATCAGAAACCCTGCAGGTACGTCCATGTGTGTGTCTCAAGGCAGAGGCAAGAATGGAGACTGGAGAATGAGGGTTAATGTACTAAGGGAAAGGAATTCTCCTGTGACAATCTCTTGCCCCTAATACCCACCCAGGGCTCTCCCAGGGCCAGGAGGAAGGTGAGGGGCCTCTAGGTCATACTCGCCGCTTCGGGCAGCTCTGGATGGTGAGCATGAATGACCCCCTGCAGACAGGAACCTGGGAGATCCAGGTCACAGCCAAGGGTACCCCCCGGGTGAGAGTGCAAGGTAAGGAGGGAGATATTCCTGGGAAAGGAAAGGGAGCAGCAGTATGAGTCACGTTCAGCTCTGGAAGGTCTCTGACTGCCTCCGCCCTCCCTCAGCCCAGACCTCCCTGGATTTCCTCTTCCACTTTGGGATCCCCATGGAGGATGGACCCCACCCTGGCCTCTACCCCCTGACTCAACCAGTTGCAGGTACATCTGTCCCCACCCCTAACTTGCTTTGTGTATATATATAAATTATATATATAGCTTTTCATTGAATTATAACATTTAATAAGGTGCACTAAACTTCAGTGTACAGCTGGGTGGATTTTATATAATAAAAAATAACCGTCATTCAGTTCAAGCTATAGAACATTTCCAGCAACCCAGCACTCCCTCCTGGCCCTCGCCATCAATACCTGTAGAGGTAACCCCTTTTCCCCATCCGTACCCCCAGAGCTAAACCCTATTCAAAGCTGTTCATGCTTTTTTCCCTGTCTCCAAACCTCACGCAGCCACTGTTCTTTCCTCCCCTCCCCTGTCCCAGGTCTCCAGACCCAGCTGCTGGTAGAAGTGACAGGGCTGGGCTCCAGAGGAAACCCTGGAGATCCTCTGCCGCATTTCTCCCACGTCATCCTTCGAGGGGTCCCGCACGGTGCCGAGCTGGGCCGGGTGCCTTTGGAGCCCATGGGACCCCGGGAGCGAGGTCTCCTCACTGCCTCGCTACCGCCCACGCTTCTGTCCACCGCGGGACCCTTCTCTCTGGAGCTGATTGGCCAGGACGGAGTGGGGCAGGGCCTGCACCGGGCGGCCCCCCAGCCCTGTGCTGTAGTTCCTGTCCTTCTGGAGGTGAGATGCCAGCGGAAGGTGCGGCTGTGGCTGGAGAGAACAGGGCCTGCTGCTCCTCCCCTGACCGGCCCTCCTCCGCAGTTCAGTGGTCCCCCGGGTTTCCTGGCGCCGGGCACCGAGGCCCCGCTCAGCTTCCGCATCGCCAGCTTCTCAGGCCCTCAGGATCTCGATCTTAGGACATCCGTCAACCCCAGCTTCGCTCTCACCTCCAACCTCACCAGGTGAAGCCCCTGAAACCTCCTGCTCCCTTCTTGTCCCATCTTTCTATTCCCAGGGCATGGGATCTGGTACTCGCTCCTCTGGCTCTTTCGAATTGGTGCTCAGATTCCTCGCTCCCCTCCCAGCCTGCGCTTGGCTCCACCCCTTGGCTTTCGGCTATTCAGAACCTGCAGCTTCAGCCGGACTTTGGCGTCCACTCCCCAGGGTTCGCCTGGAACAGAATGAGTCCGCCTGGGGGTGCCTGTGGCTGAGGGTACCAGACACAGCCACCTCAGACTCCGTGGTGATGGTGACTGTGACCGCGATGGATCGAGAAGCCAGCACAGTACCCCCCACCCATGCCTTCCTCCGGCTCCTGGTGCAGGTCCCCGCCCCGCAGGTGAGGTGCCCCCACTTTCCATTGCAGGATAGGCAAGGGGAGGGGAGGGTGGTGCAGACTTATTTGGGTGCAGCCACCCTGACAGCCTCTCCCTCTTCTCCCCAGGACCAGCTCCCTGCCCCTGTCCACTCAACTGACCCTGTCCTCACAACCACCAGCCCTGCCTTTCATCTTTCCACCTTGGTGTCTCCGGGCAGGGCTGGGGGAGGGCTGGTGGGCAACCCCTGGTGGGGCACAGTTGGAGCGGTGCTGCTCCTGCTAGGCCTGGCCTCCTGGTGACACAACAGCCCCTAGAGGGATGGGTCTCTGGCACCGTTTGCCATCTTGCCCCATTGGTAAGAAGGTAACATGGGCCTCCGGACCCTACCTCTCCCAGGTGGGATGGAGGTTTTCCTTCTCATGCACTTGTCCCTTCCAAGACTGGGATAGAAGGCAATGGATTTTCCCACAATGCACTTTCCCTAACCCTTGTGGGAAACAAACCAGACTCATTTTTGGAGAAAGTTGCTTTCTATTTCTCTGTAGCATCTTTTTTTTTTTTTTTTTTGGTAATTGCTCTATAATTTTATAGCCTCTGTTGTTGATAGTGAGTTCTTGAAGCTAGTCTTATTCTCTTTCCTTTGTATGTAACCACTTTCTATCTGGAAGCTGTTTGTTGTTCAGACTTTTAAAAATCTGGTGATGATCTAAATTTTTATGATGTGTCTAGATTTCAGTTTTTACCAATGCATTTTTCTTGGTACTCACCTCTTCTAGTTTCAAGACTGTGTTATTTATTTATTTAGCTCTTAGAGGTTTTATTTCTCTTTTTCCGTACTCTCAGTTCTCTCCTGAAAGTCCTGTTAGACCAATTTGAGAACTGCTTAAAACTACTGATCCTGAGCTTGAAACACTTTCACCATGGCATATTTTTTCCACCTTCTAAACTCGTCTGTATTTAGGGCTGGATTTTTCAAAATAGCTTTATTAAGGTATAGTTCATATATCACAAAATTCAGTCATTAAAAGTGTACAGTTCCAAAAAAAAGTGTACAGTTCAGTGTTTTTTTAGTATTCACAGTGTGGTGAAACCACCACTACAGTCTGTTGAAAATGTTCCAGAGCATTTTCAGTACCCCAAAAAGAAACCTCATGTCCATTAGCATTCACTCCCTATTCCAGTCTCCCCACGGCCCCTAGCAACCACTTATTTACTTTCTGTTTCAGGATTTGCCTATTTTAGACATTTCACATAAATGGAAATATGTAGTCTTTTGTGACTTTGCTTCTTTCATTTAGCATGTTTTCTGTGTTCAACCATGCCATTTTTTTTCCATAAGTTTATTTATTTTATTTATTTTTGGCTGCGTTGGGTCTTTGTTGCTGAGCATGGGCTTTCTCTAGTTGTGGCGAGCGGGGGCTACTCTTCGTTGTGGTGCATGGGCTTCTCATTGCAGTGGCTTCTCTTTGCTGCAGAGCACGGGCTCTAGGCGCGCGGGCTTCAGTAGTTGTGGCTCACGGGCTCTAGAGCACAGGCTCAGTAGTTGTGGCACACGGGCTTATTTGCTCCGCGGCATGTGGGATCTTCCCGGACCAGGGCTCGAACCCGTGTCACCTGCATTGGCAGGTGGGTTGTTAACCACTGCGCCACCAGGGAAGCCCTCTGTAGCATCTTTATTCCACTACTTATTCATGCTCTCCCAAGCTCAGGTAGAGGGCAAGATACATGGGGCAGTGACTAAGATTGGAAGTGGGGAGGAGGGTACCCCACCTCCTACTGAAAAGTGTTATTTATAGAATTGCTTTCATTGAAATTCTGGAGACGCTTCTATTTTATTTTTGAAATTCTGGAGATGCTTCTATTTTATTTTTGTATTTAAAGTTGAAGGACAGTGCCAATAAACATGTCTTCTCCCCAGAGGGATTTCAAAGAAAGATCACTTATGCACATCATATAGGAAAGAG